AACCTCCACTCGAAATGATGATGTCTTGTGGACAGAATAGCTTGGGATCTCAAAGGAATGAGACCTAACATCTGGTCCTCCTCAAGGTCTCTGGATATTTTCCGATTCAACCTGATAAGAGATGCTACTTTATACCCTGCAGCAGATGGGATTTGAACCTTTGTCTCCTAGCTCAGTGGCAGGGACATTACCACTGCAGCACAAGAGCCCTGTAACACAAAGTCTCTAGATTTTTTTAAAATCAACCTGTTCAGAGATGTTATGCCATTCCTCTGGAGCGGGTGGGAATTGAACCGAGGCCTCATGGTTCAGAGCTAGAGACTCTACCACTACGCAACAGCCCTCAAAGATTAACATTACTGCTAAGTAACTGTATTTGGAAACTTTGTTAGTAAGCGTTTAGTACTGTCATGATCCACATGGAGATCCATAAAACAAAGTTGTCAAATATACTGACTGATCTCCCAAAGTAAAGATATTACTGCGCAAGATTTCAACACATTAGTTTTAAACACAATAACTGTCTTTTATTATATTGCCAGTATATTACAAGTATTCTACACCCATTTAACAAAAGCAATATTTTATGGTTCAATTTATTCAGATTAAAATTCAGACTGTAAAACATGAGCAGTCTGATGATTCTATCAAACAGCATCCATCCTCCTCCCAGCAAATTTTTGAAGGAATAGAAAGAAAAAACCTTTGATTTTCTTTCTAACTAAAACTACCTCAAAAATAAATTTCACTGATTCCTCCTGATCATTGCCACTGTGTATCAGTTCCGAATTCCTCAACATTTGGTATGGACTTACAGCAATCCACATTCTACCAATTTTAACATCATAAATCACAGAGTACTTTATTTGGCAAACATAAAATTTATTTCTCTTTCTCTCACCCTCATCCCAACTTTTTCTTAGTTTAGTCAACAGGATAGTCTGGCTACCTGATGCCAGCTCTGGACTATTGACTTTGAGAGCTAGTTTCTTGGAGATATACATGTGCATTTCAGTGACAATGATCTTTCAATGCTCCCTGTATTAAGTACAACCTTGTAATAACACAGCTGAGGTATTAATTTCAAGTATATAGAAGGGATGAAGACAAGAAATCCATGTCTGCCAATAGGGGACATTATCCATGGGTACCATTTTGCTTAGAAACAACAAGGCCTCTGATCCAGTACAATGTTTCCCATTCACTGTAGCAGTTTGACCTATTGGTGATTATCACCATGGCTTTAATATTTAATAACCATTGGAAGTTAAAATCTGTGGTGAGTATTTTCATATAAATACTTGAGGAACAATCTATTGCAAGACCTAAACTTGCAATATCCTTTTAGTATTAATTCAAACATTTCTCATCCAGGTGAACATGCAATTTCTGGTTTGGGACATGACATAAAACTGACCACATTCTGTCGACAACAATATTGCAGTCCTCAAACCAAGCTGGCTTCAAATGAGCCATATGGAGACTGTGCTTTAATGCTTCAGATTGAACAGCTGTAGTTGGTGTGTTGGGTCACCAAACAAATCTTGCTTTCTCAGTAGAGTTTGTGCTTGATCCAGCCCAGACTAGCCACTTGACAATCTCTCTCTGCTGACTTGTAGAGTTCTGTGTTAAGAGTTGCAAACATTGCCAACTCAGTTACGAGTGTGCAGCAATTATCATAGGGCTTCGGGTAATGGGGCCAAAACCACTAAACTGCTCGCAATTCAGCCCAGTTGGAATTTGCAGTCAGTGGGGTCAAGAGAATGATTGGTGTCGGAAATAAAAACTGATGCAGTGGGAGAGAATGAACTTCAGCTCACAAAATGTTCAAGTTACAACTGGTGTGCAAATTGACAAGTAGCTAAATACCTTTTCAAATTTGAAATTGGCTTTTGTCCAGAAATGTAATTCTGGGTTTTACATTTTAATTCCATGCAGCTGACTAAACGTACACTATTACTGACTGAATATTCTAAAGTTTGACAGCTTCCCATCAGTTGTAGTAAGAAAAGCAATATAAAAGTCAGTAGCCTCCCAAAAAAAACTAACTAGGCTTCACACTGGACTCTTCAGACAACACAAATAAATAAAATTCAACATATCAGAACATGTAAGTGCAATATGAAAAACTCAAATAAGGAAATATAATTATTTTGTCGAGAATCAAATTATCTGTTAAGAAGCGCACTATAGCAATGTTAATATATGTTAATTGCATTTTAACAGTAAGTGCAGAATTTGAAGTTAAACATCTGCTTTGCTATTTCTACAATATAATTTTTTTTAACTATGTTTTTACTGCAGTTTGAATCTCCCAAATGAAGGCTTTCAGCTCTTGCCAGGTTACTGTTTAGTGTAACCTCTGGTGTCATGTGCAGATACTCATTGTGCATGGATTACTTAGGATTGCAGACACATCAAGTATCAATCTGACCCCTTCAATGTCCAACGTCCATGACTAGCACTGCATAGTGACCATTAGTGTGTAACCTGTTCATAACCTAGGAATTCACAGCATTATTGTAACAGCCTAATGATCTCATCCACAGTAGGGAGAGAATGTGCCTAATTTGTACAACTTAACCAATTAAGTCAGTGAATATGACAGATATCGAAGAAAATACTTTTAAGTTTGTGTATATATTTTAAATCCTGAAACTGAGTCACAAACAAACCAAAACATGTCCAGTCACTAATAGCTTGGTCAGATACTCTGGATGTTTAATGTAGTTTACATTAGATTAATTGATATGAAACTTCAATATTTGAGTATATGACCTAGACTAAGAGCTAGTCCCAATTTCAGAAATGCACAGACTTCAGGCAATGCATCTGCTTTGCAAACTTTCCTGTTTATTTTGATAGCTTTCTGAACTCTAGTTAATAAAGCAAACTGTGCCGATAAAGGGAAAATAATGGTTATAAAAACACACAGATTTCTAAGGATAGATCTGCTACACAAATCTTTACTTAAGAAAACAGATTTATATCAAATAAATTTCAAAAACAGTTTCAAGTGAACATGAATCCATATAGATACCTTTCCTTCTGACCCAGATTTAAGGTTCAAGTGTGAACAAATTGACTCATCTTGCAAAAGCACATCTGATTTTCTGTATGTTTTCAAAGGGAGCAGCCAAAAATTAAGAGCAGGAAAATTTGTTGTTTAATATTCTGATAGTAAGTGAAAAACCATTACTGCAAACTGAGGCAATGAATGCCCAAAGGTTATAATTATACAATTATAATCAGGCAATTTAACAGCACTCTATGGTGCAATGAAACAATGCACTGGATGTATTCCCCATTATAGAGAAAGAATGTTATCAAAGCGTTATAATGAATGCATTTTGCAGACTGTAGTAAGAGATCAATTTTAACTAATTTGAAAAAAAATACATAAAGATGGCCCCAAATGTGTCCAGTGAAAGAAATGAGGTTGACATTTAATTACAACCAAATGAATAAATGTGCAAACTAGACATTTATCACAAAAATTGAAAGGTTCTAATTTCAATGACAAATATAATTGAGAAAGATTATAGGTGGAATGCCTTGAAGAAACAATAGTGCATTGCAATATATTTAGACAAACATTTCATTCATGGAATTAAAGGTATAGTCAAAATGTGTATATGTTTACTCACACATACATTACTCGCATACAATTATAGTCAGCACATGCATATGTTAACATATACACATACATGTATCTATGCATTTGCTTTCATAAATTAAATATTTTTCAAGTAAATTGGGTGAATTTTGGGTTTAGTGGCAAGTGACAATGTTCATCACGTTGAAAAAAGCTGCTCGCAAAGATACAGGGATTGCTAAAGCATGCATTTCCCTTTCCCAATGACAGGGTAAATCTAATATCAAGTCAAGGGGATGTCCATGTATACAGCAACAGGAATGCCATTCACTAGGCTAATTATCCAGTCACAATGGAGTATTCTCTCAGACAGTACATCAGGAAGTAAAGCCATTGAAACCCTTATAAATTTTTAAAAACTAATAGCTAGTAAAATAAGTGATTTGGACAAATGAATCAGACTAAAGTAGGAATTTTTTTAATTAAAAGCATTATTTTATAATTGTCAAATTTATCATAAAACAGAAATTTGTCATTTAATGTGGAAAATTATTCTTTCAGGATCTGTGATATTTTTCAGTACTAATTATGAACCATGCTAAAAACTCAATTGCCTCTCATTCAACAAGATGCAACCACTTTTTTTCCCAAGTGAGACTAAGAGAATAGGAGTGGAAGTTTTTGTCAGCCTAGTGATTTCTAATTGTTTACAGTGTTACAGGTCTCCAATAGCACAGCCTCTGGAGAAAGGTAAAACCACTGTCAGCAACCTCTGGACTCCCCTTTGGCTGGGCATATAGACTCCTGAAACTAATGTTAGTTTTAGTGGAGTAAAATCTGCAGAATCAAAGCCACTCTGGTTCATTCTAATTAGATCATTTCACAGCAAATAACCATAACTCTGGCAATACAGAGTTGTTTCAAGACAAGGAAGAAAGGTTAGAACAAAACGTTCCAAATCAAATTAGAAGAGTGATTCAAGACTACAAAGGTATTTCTTTACATTTTCAAAACATTGTGCAAATTCTGCTTGTCTTGTATAATGCATTATAAAAAATGAAGCTACTGTCTATAAACTTTCTTGAAACCTGAAACTTGTTTGCATCTGTATACAACAGGCCTGCTAACTTTCTCACCAGAACTGAGGTGGCACCCAAAAATCTACCCAAATAAGGTGACAACATTTTAAAAGCTAACTTTCATCCAGTATTACCTGAATACGCACACGTTTTTACTGCTTTGTTCAAGAACTAATTTGTTTTATTTGACAATTTGATATGCTATTAAAATGTCACTTTAGACAGGAGGTATTATAATGTATTGGTTGGCTTACTCAGCGGCAAGCAATGCACAGAGGCAAATGTCATTCTGTAACATGTTCAACAGCATGTGACATGAGTCTCACCTTCTTCACAACTGCTGCCTCTGAACCCGACACAACATTTCCATTCTATCGCTGTCACCGTTTTGTAAGTCAGTCTGTAAGTTGGTCGGATCATCGCCCTGTAACTGAAAAATGCAAAACTGATCTGTAAAGTCAGAACTGAGAACTGAGAAGCTGCTCTGGAGCACAGAAGTGGCACTGAGGAAGTGGGTCACACACTCACCATCCTACAGCCCTGTCCATGCATATAAAATCCACACAATCAGACCATGGTAAATGAGCATGAGTTTCTAAAACCCCAACTTCAGTTCAACTGATTGCGTTCATTTAGCGTCTTTAAAGCAGTAAAATGTCCCAGGCCCTTTACAGGATTACAGTCAGGTAATATTTGGCACTGAGCCACACAGGTTTGGCCAGAGAGTGTCTCTTGAGAAACTACTTTATGGAACACCAAGAGGTAGCAAGGCAAAAAGGTTTAGAGAGGGAATTTCAGAGGTCTGAGATTAAATGAATGGCTAGATCAATTTGAACTAGTTCTCCTTTCACATAAATAAGTTTGTTGGTTTACAATCAGTCTCATCATAATTTTAATCAGCCTTACTATCTCTGACTCTTCCAGCATCAATATCGTGGAGATTGCCATTGATCCAAAACTCAAAAAGGACCAGCCACATAAATGCCATGGCAAGTAAAGCAGGCTGGATATTCTACGGCTTATCTCCTGACACCCCAAAGCCTCTCAACCACCATATAGCACAAAACAGGAGAGTACCAATGTAAATTATGGCAGTTATACAGTCATAGAGTTATATAGCATGAAAACAGACCCTTCAGTTCAACTCGTCCATGCCAACCAGATATCCTAAACTGATCTACTCCCGATTAGCCAGCATTTGGCCCATTTACTTCTCAATCCTTCCTATTCATCCAGGTGCCTTTTTAATGTTGTAATTGTACCTGCCTCCACCACATCCTCTGGCACCTTGCACCACCATCTAGGTCCCTTTTAAACCTTTCCCGCCTCACCTTAAAGCTATGCCCTCTAGTTTTGGACTCCCCTACCCTGGGAAAAAGACTTTGGCTATTCACCCTATCCATTCCCCTCATGATTTTTATGAACCTCTATAAATTCACCCCTCAGCTAGTTCTCAGTTAATCTGATAGTGAGCATAATTCTATAACAGATAAAGAAGTGACCATGATCAGCTACATTGCACAGCAGGGTTATCAATGCCACTGAAAACAGTAAATTGGTCAGATTGACATGTCAAACAATGTAGGTAATGCATTCTCACCTAATACCACCAGGGCAGCCCATTGGCCATCTGCAGCTCTGATAAACCCTCTGCACGTATGTTCCATTCTGCACTTGGCAGGACACTGTTTTTGTGACAGTGAACGGACACCAATTCCTTAAACAAAAGAAGGAATAAGTTGATTTACAGGGAAATGGTTAAAACTGAATGATTAACCAATTAACTTTACAAAAAAAAAAATGATTAAAAAGTAAAAGGTGTCCTGACACTCCAAGAACTTTAATGGTTTAAGAAGCCAGCTCACACCACCTTTTCAAAGGCAATTACAGATTGGCAAGAAATGCTGACCTGGCCAGTGACTCCCACACCCATGAATGAATATAAACAAAAGCAGGAATCTGTTTCCAGTGCCAAGTATCCATAAGTGTTCTTCCAGTAGACGTTGTTGATAGCAATCAAGTATGGGGCCCTAATTGATGAGTCGCTGTGCTTTCTGCATTATCATCATCAACCAGTAGGAGATCAACTTCCTCAACAAATGCTGTAAATGAGACCTAGATGCTATGTAAAGCACAACACTTTGAGCACTTTAAAAGAGCAAAGTGTGTTTGCTCTTGACCACTGTTTCATTGTTGCTCAGACAATTACTCATGTCCTATAGTGGAACATTCCCTGTATTTTCTGTTTGTTCAAATTTTGCTTGCTCCAGTGATTATTTGTTTTTAACTGTAGCTATTGTACTGGCAATTTTATGATAGAAATGTTTGCATTTTGGCATAATTCTAGCAGCAAGTGCTCATTAAGCAACAATTATTGGGGAAAATGACATGCAGTTACATGATAAATTCATTTAGTGCTTTCTTAAAAACACCTCACACAGAAATGATTTGTTTTAGATGCGGTGACTATACTGCAGTTAGTGTACAAACAGCAGGATCCCACAAAGGAATGACTAGTTCATCTTTTTGTTTTGGCTGTTGCTCTGTAAGGAAGAAATATTGAGAACTGCACAAAAATACTTCACTGCTCTTTTTGAAGCTTTCAATGATTTGTTCAAATCTGGAATGGGACTTGAATCCACAACCTTCTGACCCAGAGGTTACTCACTGAGCAAGTTGACACGTGGCACTCCCTCTGGAATGAATACTCGTCATACACTCTGAAAAGGTGAGAGCTCTTTCACATTGTGCCAGGCACTAGTACAACAACAGGAGCAGACATGGTGTGAATGGAGTTTGATCATGCTTGTTACTGGAGAGAGTCCAACCCTCCTTGGGGTTAGCAGACTGGCGCCAATCATGAATTTGATTTGTGTGGCCTGGGAAAGAAGCCATTTATCCAAATGCACTGATTTCCTCCAAAACTCTCAGACATGGGGACTGTGGGTACTCTAATTTCCAAACAAAACTCAATATGCTGCTCTTTTTGCAATATTTCTATGTTGGACACCCCACTTCTCCCAAATATCAACCACATAACAGAAGAGATGAACTGCAAAAATAACAGTTCTTTTATAAAAGTACATAGTATCCTGCTTGGCTACCACATTTCCCTACAAAGCAACTGTGCCAATATTTCAACAGTAATTATCTAGCTCAAGTGATTTGGGACATCCTGTGAATAGGAAATGCTATATAAATGCAAGTTCTTTATATGAATTCTATTTATACTAGCTATTTTTGGAATGAAGATCATTGTGCAATAAATGTGGCTTTCAGACCAGTGCTAGTGATTTATCCGGCCTGTGAGCTTTCACAAAAAAAAAAGCTACCTCCTCCTGCTTTGCTAAGCCTCAAATGTAAAGGAAGTTTTCCATTCAACTGGTCATTCTTCATATAAAATATAACAGAGTCGAATAGCTTTCTGACGCTGAAGGTATTGTAATAAAACCCTGTCCTAACTCAACTAGACACTTGCAATTGCATACTCAGGAGGTCCCCAGATAGGAATGAGGGTGACTGATAACAACAACTAGGATTAATTTAGTGGCTTCAAGCCAATATGACATGCTGAGCTATTTCACAAGTCTATTATACAGCAACATTTGATGCAGAGCCACGTAAAGAGATGTTATGGCAAAATGCCAAACACTTAGTGAAACAGTTCAGTTTGTAGATGCGTTTGAAAGGATGAAAGTGAGGTAGAGAGGTGGAAAGGTAGAGCCAACTGAAGTCACAGCCACAAATGGGGCAACAATTAAAACTCAGGGATATTGAAGGGGCCAAAGGCAGAGGGCTGTAGGTTTGGGTGAGACCACAAAGAGGTTTGAAAATAAGGATTAGAATTTTATAATCAAGGTATTGCTTAACTATAAGCGAGTGTAGACAGCCAGCAGATAGCAAAGTTGTGATGGTTGAACAAGACTTGATGTGCGTAAGGACCCAGGCCTGGCTCATCCTAGTGGAATAGCCCATTTTCCTAAGCCAGAGGCACTGAGGCAATTTAAATTTGCCAGCTGCTACTGTGGTTTAAATCAGTGAGCTCAACATCAACTACAAAAGAGCTTAGCCTTGTCATATCTCAAAAACTTTCTTTTCTCTCTGATTCACACAAAAAAAATACACAGATCAGTTAAACCCATCCGAAGTAACACAACGTTGGCAGCAGTAAAATCTCCAGCTGAACTGGGAACATGGTAACACTGACCAAAGCACCCACAAACCCAAGATCATCTTCCCCCTCACCTGCAGATGCTAACCATACTGAAAAAAAAACATTGTTTGACTAATTAAGTCCCCTCAAAAATACAAACAAGCAGAATGGGAAGTGGGACAAAACTGACGTTATCACTTTAAACTTTAAGAAAACGATCAAGACTTAAACACATATGAATAATAATAAGGCAGAAACAGGATGTAACCACTGTGTGAATAGAAATAGGAAGTCACGGTTTTCAGAAAATCAACACTGAAGTTCTGGATAACTCAATAATTCTGATTCTTGGGGTATGCAGTGGGATTTCACTCCCCTCATCTTCTGTTTCGTTTGTAGCAATCTTTTAGCACTGCCCCGTTAAAAGAATGTAATTGTGCATTTCCAGAAGTTATGCCACCTAATTTATCCTGGCTGTTTCAGTCTATGAAAGACGTAAACGCAGAGACAGCTGAAGGCTTCTCATAGTGTTCCAATAAATCAACCCATAAATAGTTCAGATTTTGACTTCATATTACTTGAAACAAACGTCAAAGTTGCCCCTTCCATTCACTTTTGATACATTAGTCAACAGACGAAAACAAATTCAACGCCCTGACGACTAAACACCAATGCTGAGACTGTGTCAGAGATAGTAGGAACTGCAGATGCTGGAGAATCTGAGATAACAAGGTGTAGAGCTGGATGAACACAACAGGCCAAGCAGCATCAGAGGAGCAGGAAGT